GAGAGAGAGAGAGAGAGAGAGAGAGAGAGAGAGAGTAATCATTTGTGTGACAGCTATTCCAGTCATTCAATTAGGCTTTCATTAAGTTTTTGGAAATTGTCGTCAAAAAGTAGACTCAAAATGTTAAATATAATTAAAGCCTACAAATTATTGCTAAAATATAGCACAGTTTTACTGTTTCACGTCAAACAGTAATGAAACAAAATTTTTAAATTGAATTTTCAAAAATAAGTAAATGTTTTGCAATGTATTTCTTGATTTATAACTCAATTTTCGCTGTAATTCTTATCTGAATGCTAAAGAAAATGAGTTATAATGTGAAGTATTGATGAAAACTAAGAGATAATTAAATCCAAGAGTTGGCCAAAATGAGAGTCATTTGGTACTAACTTAGCCGTTATTTTCATAGATTTATTTAATTTGCTTTTAAATACATTCAAAGCCCTAATGAATGACAACATAAGCACTGGTAGTGCGAGGATAGAGAAGATTCGGCTCTTTTTATTCAATTTATTCTGAGATCTAATAATAAAACTTATATTTCACTTAATGAGAGCTCAAACGTAAATACAATTAATTGATTATAAGCCAAGAAATGAGCTGAAAATGTCTTTACCTGAAACCAGACCTGAACGCGAGCTTCGGTTAAATTGATTTTCATCGCCAGATCTGTCGGTGTTTATAATAAAAGCGAAGAAAAATTTATATTAATATATGAAATGATAGCTCAAAACTCGGTGATAGTATGTATGATATGTAAGGATAGTATGATATGTCTGTTTGGCAGACCTTCGCGTGTGAATACGTCGGGATAGTGTGTCTGTGCGAACGCCTTCTCCAGTTCCTCGAGTTGTTGGACCGTAAATGTGGTCCGATTTCGGCGCTGTTTTCGGCGGACAAACGCGTCGTCGTGTATATCGCTCTGATAGGCCGCGTATGTCGTGTCTGCACCGGGAGTGTGCAAATGGATGGATACCATGGATGAGATACACACGCATTGGAAACAATAAAATTACATAAAAGTGTAAATAAATCTAATTATGGCGTGAATTGAAAGAAGGTTTGGGAGAGAGGATGGAGAGCTCACAGGACTCTGGAGATAGTGTGTCGGCTTTGGAGCACATATGAGGTATGAGAGAGAGAGAGAGAGAGAGAGAGAGAGCACAATGTTTTAAATTTAATTACAGCTATTCTCTGACTCCTAAGACTTCTCGTCACTGTTTTAATGCCATTGCAATGAGTTTCTCGTCGACTCCGACTTTAATTGAATTCAATTTAGTATTGTTTTAGTGGTTTAAGAGATGAAAAACAGTGAAAATTTTCTTTTAAACTCCATAACTGGTAATCGCATTCATGGGATTTTTTTTCCTCAATCACTACTTTTAGTTTATTTCATTTAATTTTATTTCAAATATGAAACTAATATATCACGGAATTAGATATTATTTTTCGAGAAAACTATTATTAGTTTATCATAAATTCATAGTTAAAGTGTTATTTTATAAGTGGACTAAATTTTTTAAAGTCCAAAACTAACTTACTATATATTATATAATAGATACCCTGGTTGTACTGCAGAGCACATACACTCTCTATTGTCTGAGCTATAAATAAGTATCGGTTGGGAAACAAATTGTGTTATATATTCAGAGCTGATGGATGGAGAATATATTGAATATAGTGTTACACACATTGGATATATATATTGAGTTGATTTTATTTTCCAAGCGTTTCGTACGTATAAAAACTGTGACCTTATCTAAGCATTGATTCACTTTTGCTTTTGATTTAAATAAAGTTATGGCAATGAAGTTGAATCCAATTTCTAGTATACAATACACACTATGGTATACACTATTGCATAACATTATCAGATATATTATATATCTCTATATTATATATAAATATAAGTATAAAAGACTACAGGATTTCGCTCTATAATATACTATAAGATTAGTTGAGAATTTTAAATGATTTTAGTTTTTTGCAGCGAAAAGAAAACTTGGTATTTTTAAGTCTCTCTCTCTCTCTCTCTCTCTCTCATCTCTGCGGAGACACTGAATAATTTAATACGAATTGAACGAAAAGTGCATTAAATCAAAGATTCAATTTTGTAATCAAATCCTCTAAAATAAAATTATGAACGGAAAGAATGCAATTTCTTTAGAATTTTATAAATTAAATAAAATTCTGATATATTTTTTCCTTTATATGAAAAGCCAGTCATAAAGTGCAGACATTTCTCAGAAAATAATAAAAATAAAATTTAATATATCATTTCTTGACTCAAAATATTTATGCAATGTTAGGTGCAAAACATGCAGTATTTGCTTACATGGAGTTCCGCTCGAATACATGGATAGTGTAGGCATTCCTGCAGGTGTTGTGCCTGAATGGTGATGAGTTCCAACTGGTGTTCCGATCGGACAGTGATAGCAAAACATCGTTTCAAATAATTCACTGCAAATGCGATATTATTAATGCGATTACAGTTTCAATACTCCTTATGTTTTGATGACAGCTATAATACAAAGTGTTTACTTTTAATTAGTAATTCAATAAAGAGTCTAGTCTATTCAAAAAACTTATAAATATTAACTTAAAAATTGTAATTTTAAAATTAAATGAACAGTTAATGTAATACATTATATATAAATCTATTTATAAGAAGAAGTTATGTTTTAATAAAAGGATTTCCTTAAGTGTAGCCAAAATTAAGTGAATAAAAATGCGTTTTATGTATAGAGTACTCAGATTTAAAGGATTGTGAAGTCATAGAAAAAATAGTTACAAAAAATAGCATCAATTGAAAAGAGCATAACGTATAGAATACAGTGATGTGTATATCGGACCGCCCGACCACTTATTCACTTCCTTTTAGAGCATAAAATTTTGCTTAACTTTAGTTTCCATTAACCCGTTTCCGATTAGGAAACTCATATATGGCCTCATTTTATGTATCATACGCTGGGAGTCCTCTTTAAAGGCCTGTCTATCTCTCTATTAAAAGCATAACTTTTTCATTTAATATAATACTAGGAAATCATTATTGCTTTTCATTAGATTGTAAAGTAAAGCGCGCTTTAAATCAAAAACAGTTTCCGATTCACTGACGGATTAATTTATTTATTCAATTGGTTTTGGTTTTCGTGGTGTCTATAAAATTGGAAATACTATTATATATACGGTATAAATATATGCAATAAATATTAAGTCTTATACACTATAAAAGCAAAATCGAGTGGAGAGACAAAACGCACAAGAAATTCAATATCGCATTGAATAGTGTGTTAATCGCATTCACGCCCGTAATGCCTCTTTCGTGCACTACAACTAACTTCCGACACAAACAGTCACACATCCATTTGGATACATATTTTCAATGCACTCTAACCGTGATTATCACTAATTAATTATAATTATTTTATTTTTTCTGACAAACACTACTTTTTAGACCGCAAATTAAATTAAGCGAAATTATAAATATAATTAATTTAACAAGTAGTAAATTGAATTAAAATTAATTAAATGGTATAGCTTAATATAAAAATAACGTTATAAATTTATTTAAATAAATTATAAAACTTTTACAAAATTACATGAAAAGAGTTTACACGCCAACAAAACAAATATTAGATTCAAAAGGAAAATAGCATTTCAGGAGTTGTTTCTTACCGTTAAATCAAATGATGATATTTTTTGAGCACATTTTCTCTCCTCAATAATAAAAACACAACTTTTATCGCGGAGTTTGTGTTGGGAATGGATGTCAACTAGAAGTGATGCGGCATTTTGTATAGGATATTATGATTGCATTTGTTAGAGCGCTAGAGATTTTTTCTCTCCTCAATAATAAAAACACAACTTTTATCGCGGAGTTTGTGTTGGGAATGGATGTCAACTAGAAGTGATGCGGCATTTTGTATAGGATATTATGATTGCATTTGTTAGAGCGCTAGAGATTGAGATCGTTAGCGAGTCTGGCGCTGTCCCTATTGGACAGGCGTTGGGGAGCGTATGGTATGGGGTATGCCTTTCGATCGATTTTTGCGATCCCCGCGCTCTCACTGTAAGCCTAAATAGAGGCGGAGCGCCGGCAGCCTCACTGATGCACTGACTTGACTTCAAGCAAGTAATATATTTACTCTCCACTCTCTTTTCCCCCGTATTTATTGTTTTATATATTTTTTGTGATGAGTTTAGTGTTAAGTTTTAAAATTTTATTCTATCGAAAATTTTATATAATATATATAAATGAGTGAACGGCAAAAAAATTGCTCACAAAAATCAAAACTAAATTTTATTTATGATTCACTTGAAGTGTAATTTTGATTTCTTTTCCTTTGATTTTGTCTTAAAGTAATTTTCAAGACTAAAGTGGAGAGAGAGAGAGAGAGAGAGAGAGCAAAGTGATGACAAAAATAGTTTGCATTTTAATTTAAATTTCGTTTGACAATTGAGTCGACTGTCAGTCGGTGTTGTACTCTAACGGTGCAAAACTCTGTTAACAGAATATTATGTATTATTTTATTTCTTTATTGAAAAAAATTTTTTGACAGAAATAACTCATAACTTGTAAAATACATTTCATTTATTGAATAATTCAAAAGCAATAGGAATTGGTTTAGGCGTGTAGTGAAGGGTGGCATAGATGTCATACCATCAAAAAACACATACACAGACACAGTGTGATCACAGCGAGAGAGGACTGGTAGCATTGATGGCACCAATGCATTCATGGCACATGTATGGCAGCCGACTATTGGTGCAAACAATGGCCAGAAAAGTAATCATTACATTAGATAACAAGTAGTGTCGCTTTGAATAGGGCTCAGGTCTGTCATACTGTACATCAATTAGCAGTCATTAGCCTCGGGGGAGATCAGACACATGGAAAGCCCTTCTATTGGTTGAAATTCAATTACTAAACCTGTTATAAGGGATCGAAAGAGTATATGCGCTCACAGTCTCTCACTTATACACAAAACCTTATAATCATTTGATAGTCACTTATGATGAGAGGAGTAGAGTTCACATCACTTTTCAGTTCATATCTAATTCAACTGTATTGCGATAGAGTGAGTGAGTGTGAGGGAGAGTGAGTGAGTGAGTGAGTGTGAGGGAGAGTAAGTGAGTGAGTGAGTGATGAGTGAGTGAGAGAGAGAGAGAGAGAGAGAGAGAGAGCAATTTATCAGTCGTGATGTAAATGTACTAAATTAAAAATTAACTTTCGTTTTTGGCACTCATAATGAGATGTTATTTATGTGCTAAGAGGTAGTCATCTAATTATGAGCAGTAACTCCTGTTAATTATCAAATGAGTAGGAATTGTATTGCAAGTGAATATCACATTCAATGATAACAATGACTGTAGTGTTAACTGCACTGAGAATTCATTTTCTCTTTACTCTATTTGCTTCACTCACTCTCACTCTCACTCTCTATCTCTCAATAACTCTATTACTTGTTGTATACGCCGTATAATAGAGTCAAATGAAAGTTCATTGTATATAATGGATGGAAGGGATAGTTAGCCAATAAAGGCCTGGTATGTGAGTTGTTTTGTTGTGTTAGTGGCGGAGGTGTTAAGCTTTCGGCCAAAATAATAAGCTGTCGTATTCTCGTATAGCACTCAACCATTGAGTTAGCATTTTGTGTGTGATTTCTGGCCATTCATTGTCTACATCCTTACCATTCCCTGCATTCCTTGCGAACACTCACTCACTCGATGTCTATGAATGTGTGTAAGCACTGTATGTGTTACCATACCAGTGCCTCTATACCACTGGGCATTTCAATTTTGGCATAAAATTAATTACAAGAGTAGGAAAACTATTTATTTTATTATCGCACCAAAACTAAAGGCGAGTCTTGGGATTCACTTCTGGTTGCGGTTATCCCTTCGGAATGAGACACTACCAGACCATCCATACCATCAGCCAATACCATTGCCACCACTACTGGTGCTCTATATATGTATTGTAATGTATAGCCAAATGTTAAGAAATGCACCACAAATGACCTCATCTACTATTACAGGACTACCAGTGCTCCAGAGCCGCTAATTTACAATAAATTATTGTTCTCTCGATTTGTTTCATTATTCTAACCTAAAGAGTCGGTTCATTGAGATCCCTGTGCCGTACAGACAGGCCGTACAGAATGGAGCGACCGTTCATTGCATTCATTTACTCCTCCATTACTCTCGAGGTTTCACTTATTATATGACAATATATTTGGATATTTGGACCCCATTTTCAAATTTGCTTCAAATCAGCTCAAAGTCTGTTATGTCTATTGAACAGCAATTCAATTGTCACTCTCGGGAATCGCTAGTAATGGGGAGGGGAGGGGAGGGTAGACAGAGCTCTGTTACCAATGAGTCTAGAATTTGACGACAAATGTGTCCTTAAGAGTGATAAGTAGTAAATAAAATGAACACAAAATGAATGCTTAGTTGAATGTTAATGAAGACGAAAACGAGCGTTGATCTGATTTGCCGTTTCCTTACTCTCTCTCTCTCCCTCTCTCTCTCTCTCTCTCTCCTCAATGTTCAGTTCGCACTCCATTTCCATCCCAGGGATAGTGACTTCATTTGCCACCACTTTATTAGCTCTATCGGTGCTGAACGCACTCACCGGAGGAGAGAGAGAGAGAGAGAGCTGTCTTTCAAACACAACAAAACTTAATAAGAATTTCTAATTAACACAGAATTAGTAATACAACTAATTTTAAAACCCAATCGACTTTTCCATTCAATTCGCAGTCAAATCCAATGTGTAATACAAATACTGTATAAAACTCAGGCATTCAGCGAAAACTGACTGTTATTTTATTGAACTACAAAAGCATTGAATAATATAAAACACAATTGTATAACAGGTCTTACACTCCCATTCACGCAATTAGCCGTCACTTTGAATGGAAAGGGAGCCAAATGTGTATATTTTAGGCTCAATTTAATTATATCGCCTCCGAAAACGTAAATTAGTTTAAAGTTCGCCCAATAATACGATTTGTTTAATAATTATATACTTTTTTACTTTCAATAAATTTACGCCACAAATGAGAAAATTTTATTCAAAAATTCAATTCAATTTACTATTGAGTCAACAATTGCTTTCCAGTCAATGAATCATTGTGTGAATTGTTTATTATGACAGCCAGTTAACTTTAGGTTAAATATTTATTAAAATAAGAATTACTTGAATACAATCTTAAAATGTAGATATTTATTATCAGGAATATTCATTTTAAACTTTAAAAATTCTTTGAATTAAAAACTTATTTTAAATAAGAGTTTATTGATTAAAATTGTGAATAATTTGAAGTTAGAGTCTCGACTCAGGACTTAACTATCAATTAGATAAAACAATTACAATTATTTAACATTTTTATATTAAACATAAATCTAAGTAATAGGTTATTTTCTCTAATTGTCTACTTATAAGTTACATGAAATGTCAAATTAGATATTTTCTGAGGCTGACTTCAATTGTTTGCAATTATTATTTTCAGATTTAATGTAAATAATTACGAGTCTAATGGTAAATACTATGCCAATTGCCATTAGAAAACTTATGACAGACAATCCAATGATGGTTAAAGTGTGTGAACTGTCCACGACATCCAGTTTCAGTTTACTTATGTCATCAGTTTTGTTCACCGGTTCAGTCATAGGCTCAGTCTGTCTAACGGCACACATACTTAGATAGACGGTCCCATTGGCCTGACATGTGAGACATTATATATTTAAGTTACAAAATTCATACAATAGACAATTACTTTATATCATATTTAGTGTTAGTCTGAAGTGAATGCATAATTATTTGGTATACTTATAAACAAAATAGTACCTGTTCCAAATGCAACCTATCAGGTAAAATACAAATATAGTGATACCCGTCCCGGTTAACCAACATTAGATTAGATGAAGTCAGAGGCCATTTGGGGCTGTTGTTGATGGCCCGGACATCTATCTGTGCCGTCGCAGACATATGTCTGGCCAGCGGGACATCGATCGGCATATCATCGATACAACTGCTGAGATAAACATAACCCCTATTAGTCGGACCATTGGACCCGACAAAAATGCTCCTGATCCCATTGGCTCACTATATCGCGAATATGTAACCAAGCTCACAGGGCCCACTTGCCAATTGCCCTGGTCAACCTTCGAAGCCACTATTTTGTTTGTGACACAATCAGTCCACTGTTCACTCTATATATGATAAGAATATTCTGTAAATTCTGTTAAATATTAGTTTACAATAAATGAAAATACATTATCTCTTATGAAACAATTGTAGTCAAACTCCGAGAAACGGTTGTTAGTGCCGGTGCTATAGAGACCTACTGGCGCTACAGTATCAGGCATTAATGCGCCCGATACTATCACAATACTGCCATCATTATCAACTGGGGTTACTTGAGTGACCATCATAT